AAAGACTTGCATATTATTCGTATTATTCATATAAAATATTATTAAAATTTGTCCTTTCTATTTCTATTGGATACTTTCACTTTTATAAAATTTATATATAGATTTTTTATTATTATTTCTTCCTTTCTTTTTTTAATATATTCCTCGTGATATTTATCATTGATTCTTGAAACTGATTCATCTAGGTGTTATGTCACATCGATAAAATATATAAAAATTCAGAGAAAAGGATTAAGTTGATCCGCTTTGCAATCTTTCTTTGAAGATATTATTAAAATATTAGATATCGTAATCGTAAATCTAAATATTGATCATGCCTGATACCTGATGTTTTAATTTATATAGAATTTATATAGAATTTTTAATCATAAAATTTACTACATTACTCGGCACTATTAAGTCCTTAAGTATTGAACTATTCATTGAAATTTCCTATTCGAAAAAAAAAACGATGGCCGGATATTTTTCAATGGTGATAACGGATTGTTGATCTAAGGCTAAGACTCACCGTCCTGGATGTTGTCACTGTAACAGTGTATTGTTAGAGTAGTACAATGAGCGTGTTTAACAATACCGCCGGCCGATCCAGCCGATTGTTTCCTCGCCTCTTAACGTTACTGTTGCCATTAGCCGCGGCGATTGCGATTAATTTGCTACTAAAACAACGTGTGCCTTGCCTGTCCAATTATTATCACGTGCACGATAATCTATTACAAGCGAGCTGATTATATCAAAAGAAATATACCATCTCTCAATTTGTTTGAAATAATTTTTAATCAAAACTTATGCGTACATAATACTTTAATTATTTTATATAAGCTCAGCTTAGATTCTTGTAGGCGAGGAGCAAGGTAATTATTTTTATGAGTATAAGCTATGGAGAAACTATAAAAATTCTTGTCATTCATTCGTAACAAGTCACGCTTATGAAGAAACGATAAATTATTAGGAAATTCAATCCTTCGGTCCCTTTAAAAATTATAACTGACCTAACAAGCGCAAGGAAAGACGAAAAGAAAGGGAACTCTTGTTTTGATTAGGGAATGTCAAAGCAAACTGACTCCGTAACACTGGCCTGCCCTTTTTTCTTAGTCTCTCCCTACCAATTTTATTGGATTTTTATGGTGGTTTGTCGTGACTGGTCGTGGTCACGTTCTATAGCAAGTCACTGCAAGCTATTGTGTCACGGTTGTAGTATTCTTAAGTTAGCAAAAGATATATAAAGTAAGCGTAGAATTATTTAAAATTATCGATTTGGAATATTTTTTTCTTAAAAATATATATAGAACAACAAGAAATAGAAAATAAAATCATCATTGGAATATAAAAAATTGTTTAAAAAGAAATTATTGCAAACATCTTGTTTATTGGGTATGTCACATAAATTATATAATGAATAATATAAAAATTAAATATTTACCTTTACAATTTTTTTTTTTGTTATTTATGAGTAATCTTATGTAGACAAAAATAATAAAAAAGAAGATAAAATGTAAAAATTTAAAAAAACAAAGAAATGAAGGAAAATTCTTGTAATCATTGCAGTTGTACTTAAAATGAATCGAATAAATTTTTATCGTTATATTTATAATTGTTGAAAGTCGATAATGCAGACCAACAAAAATGAGCTTTTGCTCATCTAGCACCATCCGACGATGATCATAAGTACTAAATGATAACCGGTTCTCGACTGAGTCTTTCGTAACCTATAGAAGCAGAAGACTAAGTTTTAGGGAAGCATTAGTACTTGTAATTCGTCTGAATCAACGAAGAAAAAATCGAAATTCCGAAATGGATGACGACAATGATCAGGAACATTTAATAGAAGATGATTATTACACATTCCTGAATATCCCAAGAAATGTGAGTCAACACGACATTTCGAATTATGAACGTATTTTTCTCGTCCGGTTTATTGTGAAGACCAATTCCTAATTTTCCACGTGACATACTATTTCTCAATGTCTGATGTAATCGATCTCTTCGTAACGATATAATATAAACTTTACTGCTAAGAAAAATTTTCAAACATTATTATGTTCTGATATTAATTAATTTCTTTCATAGTTTCTAACATACTTTCATCATTTTTATTACCCTTTTTATGTAAGTCTCTTCTTTTCTAATCTAAATAATATAAAGGAATATATATTTTAAAATTGAACTTTTATAAAATTTTTTGACGTTAAACGTAAAAGTTATTTATGAACATTTTAGTTACATTAAACTTATTCATAGGCTACACAGGAAGAGATCAATTATGCTTATCGTAGGCAGAGCAAACTTTATCATCCTGACAAACATGTCGATCCTGTACTCAAGAAGGAAGCAGAAATTTTATTTAATCGCACTAAGGCAGCATACAAAGGTTTATATAGATTAATATTGTAAAAATATTTCAATCTATCTCTTATATAAAATTAATATGTTGTTCGTGTCAGTTTTAAGTAATCCCCATCAAAGAGCTATTTATGATTCAGTGGGTATTAGAGGATTACAAACTGAAGGTTGGGAGATAGTAGAACGTACTAAAACACCTCAAGAAATTAGAGAAGAATATGAATATCTTGCAAAAGAAGCAGAGGAAAGAAAATTGTTAAGGCTTACAAATCCCACTACTAGTATCACAATGAATATCAATGCTACAGATCTTTTTAATAGATATGACAAAGATTATGAAGATAGGTAATATTCTGTAATTTTAATATAATTGTACATACTATAAAGTATATTGTATTTTAAAATATAGCAGGGACATACTTTCATGCATAGAAGTCAGTGGAATGTCTTTCACACAGTCCATTGAGGCACCTCTTACTTTGCAAGACATTATAACAATGTATGGTCAATTAAGTACAAGAAATGGTATTGGTTCTGGTTCCATACACATAGCTGCAAAACGATTGCTTTCATCAAAAGGTTGGATAGAACTAGAGGTTGGTGCTGGAAATGGACCAACAATATCATTCAAAGGTTTCCGTTTACTACCTCATAAATTGATGTTTAATGGAGCAACAGTACTTGAGTTCACTCCAGTCGAAATTAAGGCTAGTCTTGTAGGCAGTATGTTCATTTATCTTATATTAATTATAGATGTCAGCTATAGATGAAAAAATATATATAATTTTTTAATTAAAATATTAATTTTGAAAATTATATTAATTTTAGCACTTACAATGCAATTAGACACACATACAATAGGAGAGCTTACATATAATGCAGGCTCAGAAAGTTCTATGAGCACTGGCATTGTTAGAGATACAGATAGATCTTATACATCATTTTCCATACATCTTGGTATCATACGGTCATTTATTAGTTTTAATTACGTATATAAAATGCATGAGAAAGAGATGAAACTACGCGGAAGTGTAAAGTTAGTATTAACAAATTATTTTATTATTGTTATTGCATATGTGTAATATATAGTGTTTTCAAATTATACATGCGAATTATAATGTTTTGTTAATTATAGAGCTGGTACATTTGGATTAGTTGTAGAATACGGTGCGGAAAAAAAAATTTCGCGACATACTAGATTATCTGCAACAGTATCTGCAGGAGTGCCAACAGGAGTCATGTTAAAACTTAAATTGAACCGTTCTTTTCAAACTTATGCATTTCCTATTCATCTTAGTGATGAAGTTCTTCCAGCCACTGTGTTCTATGCTACTGTAGTTCCAATAATGACATGGGTTATACTGAAAAAAATTGTGATAGATCCCATGGTAAAAAAACGAGAAGAGCGTGAAAAGGAGAAAGAAAAGGAAGTAAATAAAACAAGAATGATGGAAAAGCAGAAAGAAGCAGAGAGTGCAACCAAATTAATGAAAGCCACTGTGAGTAGGATAAGAGCTACGGAAGAATCAAAGAAGGGTTTAATTATCTCAAAAGCTCTATATGGAAGATTTGTTTATCCTCAACAAGATCAGTATAACTCAGATCAACGGCCCATACATAGAGATGAAGTAATAGATGTAACTATTCCTTTACAATGTTTAGTAAAGGATTCAAAGTTGATTCTTTATGATGCATCTAAGGTATTTTGTAAAATTACATTAAAATTGTTTCATCTTTTTTATTGTAAAATGTAAATTTTAACGTTGCAGAGTGAACTTCCAGGATTTTATGATCCATGTGTAGGAGAAGAGAAACAATTATTAATACAATATCTATTTCGTAATCAAACGCATGAATGCATAGTAAAAGATAATGCACCAGTCAGAATACCATTACCATGTAAGAATTACGAAAATATTTTATAATCTTAATTATAACTTTTACAAATATTAATAAAAAATTATTTTGTTTTAGCACATAGAGTAAATACAACATGACGCATGCGCTATCATAAAAAATTAAAATAAAGTCACCGTGGTTCATGGTAATAGTCTGTACTGCTTCACTGAATTCTTTCGATCATTTTTAGATTAAACTTCTACAGATATTTTGTTGAAGAAATTGAGTGTTCATTGATCATTTGATGATAATTTTATTTTTCCTGATGTAATTATTTGCATGAAGTCCCATGTAAAAAACACAATGAAAGAATCAGAATATTGTCTTCATAAATACTGCCTATGAAATAGAAACAAATTGCATTAGATAAAACGACTAAATTGTCGTTATATAAAAAATCAAGGAAGAACAAACTTATTATATCTTTGTACGATTATAATAGACATATTTTTCATATTATCTACTATTCACATTATCTTGAAGATTAATAATTATTTGAAGAATCGTTTGTTGATAAAACTGTATATCTAATATGCAATTCATTAATATATAAAATATTTTTGTTGCATAAAGTGCAAAAGTGTATATAGAATTATATACATTAATTTTTTAGAATTCGTATATTTTATTTGTTAATAATAATAGTATCATATGAATTACTACAAAAAGTGTAATTGATAAATTATACGAAATCGTGTTTTAAATCACTCATACATAATTTCTTCCTATAATTGTTTAATTCGAAAAAATAAAAAATATAATTTAAATTTTAGTTGAATATACATATTTGAAATGAACAAATTTATTTAAATTGAATACATTACATATTATTTTTACATATTTACATTTAAATCAAGACTCTTAAAAGCAGGTGTTGAAATATTAGACCAAAGATTGGCCAACATAGTTATTTCTTTATTTTTTTTATCAACTTCCTCTAAAGATGTCCATGAACGATCATGTTCTAATCTGTAGGAACCTTTATAAATTTGAATTGGTCCAGAATTACCCCATTCCTATACATGAGTAATATGTATATAAAATAGTTAAATTTTTAACAAATAGTTTCTTTAATTCTAGAATAAAATCATAATCGACTCACTTCTGGACTAATCATTGAAAAATATAATTGTCCAGTTTCTCTTTGATACAAATGATAAACATGTCCAGGATGTTTTACAAAATTACAAGAAACATGATGTAATTTCATATTCCAATCTGCTTCTGTGAGAATATTTTCAGCCTGTTTCTTTAAAGCTTTTATTTGCTCAACAATTATTTGCAATTTGCTGCAGGCATTTGCTTTGACAAAGTTGTCTGCTTTTTCAATTTCTGTTGCTAATGTAATTAAATCTTGTTGACATGTTTTAGCTACTGATTCTGGATCATTTAGCAGAATACCTTGTGGTTTAATATTACGCTCTACAAGAGCTACTGCTTTCATATTAATAATAGATATTGATTATTATATTAAGCAAAAAACTTAGTAATGATTCAAAATTATACCTTTAGTAAGCAAATCCTTAGAGTTATCCATATTGCTAAATTATCATTTTATAAATATTTCATATTCTACTTTTAATTATGTATATAATTATTTTATGATCATTAAGAGACAATTTATAAACACTTAGAAATAATTTATAAAAATTGTAAATTAGCCGTAAAAAATATTAATACAATAAATACTTTATAATATCATAGATAAAATAGATCAAAAAGTTCAAGTAATAAAAAATAAACTGTCTTTGAATTATGACAATTTCAAAAAAAAAATGTGAAGTGCACATCAATGTCTCTGTCACATGAATAGGTAAGTAAACTTAACTAAAGCAAGGTTATTTTATTAAATTCTTGTTCACATGGAATCATATTAAAATGTAAGATATAAATTTTCTATATAAATATTTTAAGAATATACAAAAATTTTTACAAGATTTTCTTTATTAATATATTTGTTTTTCTCAAATATAATAAATTTATACACTCAATTCATTTTTCAAAGATTGAAAATTGTAATAAAATTAAGGTGTGTTTCTAAAAAATATAATAAAAATAGAGCTGTCGGCCGATAGCGAAAGATGTCGTTTTTGCGCGCAATCATGAAATTTTGAAGACGGTCGAAAAATCGAAAAGGACTGTGTAAACAGGGATTAAGCAATTTATGTGCAAGAATTTCATACGGGACCACGCTTTAAATGATTTACAAGGAAGATGATAGAATATTTATTAGTGAAAGAAACATTGAAACGAACTAAATATAAAATTCTGACGAAATTAGACGAAAGAAGTAGTTCTTTAATGACAATGAGGTCTTTTCAAGTATAGATTTAGTAATTATCGAACATATAAGATTATTTATAAGATTTAGCAAACAATTTACGATGGATTATGCAACTGTAATCGATCAAGCTGTGAAACAGTTTTACGCGGAAGGAAATAATGATGTGCATGCATGGCTCCTCAGGGTTCAGGCCTCTCCAGAAGCCTGGACTTTTGTCTGGGAACTTCTTGATCCTTCCAAGGTATATGGAATATTCTTTTTTCCATATAAATATAAATATCTTGTTAAAAATAACAATTGTGATTTTTATCATAGTCAAGAGAAGCTCAATTTTATGCAGCTACTACATTGCATGCCAAAATTTCTAAGCAATGGGAAGAAGTACCCAAGAGTGAGTATCCTGCTTTACAGGAGCGTTTAATAAATTTTATGAAGCAGCCAAATATGCCAAAGGTTGTTCTGTCTAAACTCTGTCATGCGGTAATATTTTATTTGAATTTATTTAATTTAATTTAAATTAATTAGATAATTAAATAGCAAATTTTATTGTTATAGTTAGCTGGATTTGTAGCAAATACTTGCGCAATGGCAGAGAATGATGACAAGAATAAAAATGTTGTAGATGAACTGATGCGGATGTTATCGTATAATTCTCTTCCCATGTTAGAACTGTTATTACGTACACTTTCTGTATTACCTATAGAGGTGAAATATATATATATATATATATAATAATTTATAAATCTAATAAAAATAATAGATAATAAATGATAATATTAATAATATTATATTAATAATATTATCAGTTTGAAAGAAGACATGAAGCAAGACGAGCCAAATTACATGAATGTTTAGTAAATGGATGGTATAAGACAACCTGGCTTTTACAACAAGTTTTTTTAATGTGCAATCCAAACGCTCAAGACATTGATAATGATATGCACTTATTAGCTATGGAATGTGCATTAGCTTGGCTTAAAGTTGGTCAACTTCCTCTTGAGGCAACAGGACAAATATATTCTCATTTGTTAGCAGCTGCAGCATGTTATGCTCCAAGCAGGTATAATATATATATATATATATATATATGATAATAATAAATAGAATTTAAAAGTAGATTTATTATAAATTAGTTAGATATACATATATATATATACTATATAATATATATTAATATATATAGCATATATGTATATAAATATAAATATAAATAGTAATAGTTTTTTATATATAAGATTCAGTATAATATATAGTGTAATATATTCAGTATATATATATATTTCAGTATAATTATATATATATATACATGTATATAGTATATTTATAAATTAAATTGCACAATTTTAAAGGGAAGGATATGATGAAGAAAATGTCAGAGGCTGGGAAGTTGTACAAGAATGTTTGAACATGATAGTAACTCATAATGAGCTTACAAAGAGACCACAAACATTGTGGGAATGGACACACAGTTTGGTAACCATGGCAAGGCAATATAATAGAAAATATTTTTGTGAAATTTTAACTGCAATTGGAGAAGCTCATAGTAGAACATTTCTAAATGCTTTAGTAGAAGAAGGAAACGAAACACAGAAATGGACTGTTGAAGGTTTAATTGAATTACTTTTACAATGTTCTGAACAAGAAGGAAGATATCCTACAAATGAAACTCGCAGTTCTATTCCATTTGGATTTTGGTACGCCTTACAGGATTATCTTCCTACTCTCGACCAGCCTTATGAAAGTCGTGCTTTGTTGATTCTGAAACCTGTTTATGCAAGATTAGTTCAAGCATTATTAAGAAAATCGACACTTCCTTCATCTCTTAGCGAAGCAGGAGATGCAGATGAACGAGAGCTTTTCAGGTGTTATAGACAAGATGTGGCAGATGCTTTGGATTATTGTTACAGAGTGTTAGGACAAGATTTACTAGTGCTTCTAGGACAAAGGCTGAGTCAAACATTAGATAACTCCGGAAAATGGACAGAAGTAGAATCTACATTGCATGCTTTTGAAGCTTTAGCAGACAGTGTTGGTATTGAGGAATCCCACTACATTCCTGCTTTGATGGATTTGGTTCTTAGTCATATCCCATACGATCATTACCCTGGAGAGGTACAACAAATTCTCTTGTATTAAAATGGTGCATAATCAAATTATATGTTATGATTGTTTGTTTATGAAAAAAATATATCATGTTTATAAAAAAAAAAGTAAATTTAAATTCACTTTACTTTATTTAACAATATAAATATGTAAGATTTTATTCTATGTTTTCAGGTACTTGCATGTGCATGTTCAACAATGGGAGCATATGCAGAATGGATCGGAGAACATCCAGATCCTTGGCTTGAAAGGGTGCTTCGAATTGTTACTTTAGGATTAACAAGAGGTTCGGTGACAGCACCTTTTGCTACTATGGCTTTAAAAGATTTAGCTCGAGAATGTGAACAACAACTTACACCTTTTGCTCCATCTATTCTCAATACTATCGAACGAACTCTTCCGAATGTTACTCCAGGATGTGCAGAGGGTTTGCGATTAATGTATGCAGCTGGAAAATTATTGAATACTTTACCTTCTGTTGATGAACAATTAGCTCACTTGGATGCTACATTAGGTCTATGTATAATAAAAATTCAAGAACTTCTGCAACAACCTTGGTTTATAGCACGTGGTGCAGTGATAAATCAATTAAAAATGGCTACCATGTTTTTCTCTACATTGGAAGGTTCTATTGGAAAGGCTGTGTTAGATGGTTTACTACCAATATTTAGTCAAATCGTTGCTCATCCCGAATGGGGTCAAGATAATTTCACATTGGAAGAGATGTATATTTGCGCTCAAAAATCCTTAACGTCGTTGTTGCATCCAGAGGAAGATGCTCGACCTCTGCTTCTTATCTTAGCAAACTCGTATAAGACTTGGCCTCATCCCGCTGCCTTAAATCTTCTTCGACAACTTGTATTATTATTTGGACGAGATCCGAATAACATAATAGGTCCCGTTTTCGCAGATATAAGCTCAATTACTCTATGTGGTGTTAGGGCTTGCAGATCCGTAAACGGAAATTTATCTGACTGGGCAGAATTAATGGAAGCATATCTTGGATTATTGGCTCAAATTTGCAAAAAGAATACCAGAATGTTATTACAAATTCCTGATCAAATTCCTGAAATGTTGCAATGTGGTAAATTTCAATTTACGTTATTCTTTTACTTATAAAACTTAAAAATAGTAGAGAGTATAATTTTTAAAAATCTAATTTTATTTATTACAGGAATTGACTGTTTAACGTTACCAGAAACGGGTACTGTCAGAGCGGCCGGACATTTTCTTACGCATGCTATTACTCAGAGTCCACACTTACAGACGTTCGTACAACCAATTGGTCAACAATTAGTTTCTGTGATTTTGCAGTGTGTGGGTATGTAAATAATAAATATACTTGTAAAAATTTTGAATGTTTTCATAATAATAAATGTATAATAGGAGGCGAAGTACCACGGAGTAATCTGGAACCTCACGCAGAAGTTTTATTGACATTAAATAAGACATGCATAGAATGGACAGCACAGTGGCTTCGTGTCGCCTTCGAGAAACATGGTGCCTTATTCACAATTTCGCAAGCACAAAAGGACGCTTTCGTTAGAAATGTGCTGCGAGAACGAACGAACAAACGGATGTGTGAATTATTGCAAAATTTTAGCTTGCAGAATTTATCTTCAGCAAATAATTGGAATGTAATGACACGCAAGCAATAAAAGAGAAAGAGAAAAGGTAACAAAAAATAATTAATCACAATAATGAATTAAAGAATAAGCCAATTATTAAATAAACGCTACTCTATTCTATGTAAAATATCTTTTGCCGCGGATTGATTTGATAAGGGTAACGTTTATCTTTTATATAACAAATAATTTTAAATAAAAACTATAATGTGTATATTAAAAAAATTACATATACAAAGAAAAAGCGATAAACAACGTATATTACATAATACATTGACTTTTTTTTATTCATTCTTATTGATCAGCATTTTAAAAGTTTACAAACGAGTCATTTTTCTTCTTCAATATGATGTATATACTGTAGCTTATAGTATTCAATACTGTTCTTCATAAAACATTGAAACATATAAAATACTCATTTATCCTTGTTACTTCGTAATTACATTAAGTAAATATTACGAATTAACTTAGACATTTTAACATCATTCACACGTATAACGAGTTCATATGCTTACAAAAAGGGGGCAAAAAGATAACTTTAAAATAAAAAGTATTTATAATTGAGTATATACGCATGAT